GTAGACGTGCTCTAAGGTGCCACAGGACTCCTCGTTGTTTTTGCTGAAACAGACTGACATGGCTACCCCTCGAACTAAACAAGGAAGAGTTATTTGCTCCTGTTTTTAACACAATAACTAGGGATCACCAAATAAACAAGCAGCAGATGTAAAACAAAAGGAAGTTTTTCTTTGCACAACAGTTAATCTGTGGAATTATTTGCCAGGGGATGTTGTGAAGGCCAAAGCTATAACAGGGCTAAAAAAATAATTAAATACATTCTTATTGTTAGCCAGAATGGGCAGGGACGGTGTCCCTAGCCTCAGTTTGCCAAAAGCTAGGACTGGGCAACAGGGGATGGACTTCATTCCCTCTGGGGCACCTGGCATTGACCACTGTTGGCAGACAGGATACTGGACTAGATGGACCTTTGGTCTGACCCAGTATGGTAAATGCAGTAAGGTCTCCGAGTCCCTGCCTCAGTGAGTTAAGCAGGGAAGGAACTACTTCATAGTACTGGAATGAGTGTTTATCACATTAATAGAGTTATTGGCACTAAAGACTGAAGCTCCCAAGGTGTCTCCCTGACTCCCTACAGGCGTGGGAGAGGGGGCTAGGATCCCTGCCAGTTCAGCCAACTGGATCCCAAAGGTGGGGCACCTCATCTCCCTCTCTCCAGTGGTCCCAGAAGTAGCGCTGATTGCTACCAGCCCTGTCTCCAGCCTTGACAACCTTCCCGGTTTTGCTAGGAGTGTCCTGGAATGGGAAACTCAAACTGGGAGATCAGCTGCTAAAAGTCTGGTGGACAGGGGGGCTAAGGCAGACTCCTGCTTGCCCTGCTCCGTGCCACTCCTGGAAGTGGCCAGCACATCCCTGTAGTCCCTGGGGAGAGGGCAGGGCAGCTGATGCCACGTTACCCCAGCACTGATTCTGCAGCTCCCATTGGCCAAGAATGAAGAATTGCAGCCAATGGGTGCTGTGGAGATGGTACCTGTGGATGGGGGCAGCTTGCAGAGCCACTCCCCTCCCCCCAAATCTAGGAATCATTGCCAGACACGCCAGCCACTTCATGGAACAACGCAAGGTCAGGGCAGTCAGGGAGCCTGCCTTAGCCCTACTGTGCCACAGACTGGAAGCTGTTTCAGGTAAGCGCTGCCCAGCTGGAGCCCACACCCCGCACCCTCTCCTGCACCCCAACATCCTGCCCCAGGACCCGAGCCCCTCCCATGCCCAAACTCCCTCCCACACTCCACACCCCCCCAACCTCCTGCCTCAGGCTCAGCCTGGAGCCCCCTCCAACATTCCCAGCTCCTCGGCCACAGCCCAGAGTCCACAATCCATCCTGCACCCCAATCCCTTTCTCCAGCCCAGTGAACGTGAGTGGTAGGGGAGAGTGAGAGTGAGAGGGTGCAGGGACTCAGAGAAGGGGTGAGGCAGGGGCAGGGCCTTGGGGAAGGCATGATTAGACAGTTGACAACCCTACAAGACACAGGGGCTTGAGTCTTCCTCCACCTGCACTTTGTCCACCAGGGCAAAAGCTTGTTACTAGGATTTGACCATGCTTCACAGTCCCTTTGCACTGGTGTAAGGTGCATGCAGCAGAGATTCTGACCCAGGACTTGCGGGGGAGGAAAGAAGATCAGGAAGAACTCCCCTTTAAAAAGATCCAAATTGCTCCCATCCTTATGTTTTCCCCACCCCGCCCAAAGCAGAAGTGGATTATGACTTATTGGGGCTCTGGACACAAAGAACATTTGGGCCACCCAACACTCCACTCACCACAAGTCCCTGCCTCTTGCTGCTCCTCTTCCCCCCAAGACTCCCTGATCCCTGGCCATGTGGGCCTGAAGCCAGAGTCAGGCCACAGTAAGTGCTGCACAGGGAGCGCAGGCTGCTGTGGGGAGCCCCAGGCCTCCCACCCACCCTGGGGAAGTGAGAGCATGGTTGAGGGATCCCCTCAGCAGTCAATCCACAGCCGTGTCCAAGCATGTCTCTTCCTCTCCAGTACTGGCCCACACTGCCATAGTGCTCCAAGCTGCAGCTTTTGGGCCCTTTCTGCAGTCTTTTTTTTTTTTTTTAATCTAGGGTCATTTCAGGTCAAAGCAAGACAAACCCTGATCCCTACCAGAGCATCTCCTGGCACTGGGTTTCCTCGCCCCGCATCGTGCAGGGGGAACAGAGCGTTTCAGAGCCTCCTCCTTTGTCACAATGTTTTTCAGTTCCACTAAGCAAACTGTCCAATTAGAGCAGGGCCTCTTGCTTCCATCTTTGCCGACATTTAATTAACATGCTGCCGCTGGCAGCTGCTGACAAATTCCAGACACATGTTGTAAAGGGGTTTTGTCTTTACCCAGCATGGAAAATGAGGGTGTCACATCCCAAGGGGCGTGAATAGCTACTTTCACCTCCCCCCTCAGGGGTGAGAATTACAGAGAGACATAGAGAAGAGACCCACCATCTCTCCCCCTGCCTTTCTTTCCTTTACCCTCTCTGTTCCTCACACATTACCCTGAGAAATACAGTAGATCCAGAAAAAGATTTTCTCCCCACCTTCAAATTCCTCTCTTAATGCCAGTTTTTTCCCTTATGTGCTTGGTGGATGAGAGAAGACCAAATGGCTAGAGCACTAGCCTGGAACTCAGGAGACTTCCTGGCTCTGCTGAGTGATGTGGGGCAAATCACTTCCCTGCTCTGTGCCTCGGTTTCCCAGTCTGTCATAGGGGGATAATGATACTGCCCTCCTTGGTAAAGCACTATCAGCTCTACCAATGAGAAGTGCTGTAAGAGCTAGGTAGTATTAGTATGGGAAAGGGATCCACAATCTGCATCTTGGACTCGGAGGGACCAGGACCCTCTAGCACAGTGTGTCCCAATTTTATTTGGCCACTGAATCCATTCAAAAAAAAACCACTGGAGGAAACTGGTTGACCAAAAAAAAGAGGGGTGGGGTGGGAACTGTCAAGCAAAAAACCCCCCAAAACACCAGCCCACCCCTAAGACGACAGCGACTGGTAGCCCCTTGAAAATGGTGGCCCCGGGCAACCACCCGGCTCACCTGCCCCTAAGATCAGCTCTGAGGGAGAGTGATTGGGTTCTCGCGGAACCCTTACTTTCACTTCACAGAACTCTGGGGTTCTGCAGAGCACTATTTGGGAAACACTGCTCTAGTATAACTAGATGGGTGGAAGGGAATGATTAGTCCAAGGAGAGGGGGTAGGCACGGAGGAATGGCTTGAAACCAGAAAAGAGGGAAAAGTTCCTGATAGTGACTGGGCAGTGAAACAGCTGGAGAATACGGGAGTAGGGACAAAAGAGGCAGCAGTTCTGTTCGGACTGGAAGGGCTAAGTGACCTGTTTTTCCAAGGGATCGATATGCAGCAAAAATATTTCCACAAAACAGCTGGCACAATGCCATTTGAACCCAAACCCTGGCAGTTTGAAGAAGCAGAGGCAGTACCAATGATGCGCAAGGCAGCCCTAGGCCCAGACCAAGACAATCCTTCAGTTGCAATTTCTGCGTGCATTGGTGTTCTGATGTCAGAGGAAGCCAGTGCAGCTGTGCACCCAAAAGCCCTGCCAGACCTCAAACCAGTCACTCACAGGGGCACTGGCTGTGAATGTGAGCCTTCTCCCTCCGTCCTCCCCCTGCCCCCCCAGAGACAGCCACCACCACAAGCTTGGCTACGGATGGACCTGGAACCCTTGGAACAAAGGATGAATAAGCGGAGAATGAATGTAGGGAGGTGGGGGGGGGCTCCTCCAGTGGCCCAGTGGATAAGGTACTTGCCTTTAGAGGTCAATGGTTCAAGCCCCACTCTGGCACCCTTGGGACATAGGACAGATGGGGGGGCCCTGAAGGTAGGGAGGCTGGGGGACTCTCCCAGTGGCACAGCAGATAAGGGATAAGCAAAATGGAAGTATTGATGCTTCCCTACCTCACAGGGGCCAGGGGAGGCTTAATTATTAACTTTTGCAAAGTGCTGGGATGGTTGTGCCTGCAGAGTTCCGGCCTGCTTTTCAAGTGCAGAGCATTTGCCGTCAGGCCAGATTTCCAAAAAGGCCCAGAACCCCCGCATGCTGAACAATTTGGAAAAAACTGTCCTTTTCTTTTGGTGCCTAAATGGAAGCTGAGCTCTTTGGGAAATCTGAGCCCATGCCGGTGCATGCCTCTAAGAAGCTGTGGGCTCTATGTCCCAGCCCGTGATGTTGCAAACACACGTGTCTCAGGGCAGTCTGAAACCAGGCCATGTGGGCCCCATTCGCCGTGGCTGTGGACCTTTCAGCTCCCCTGACTTCTGTGGGTGTTGAGGGGAGGGTGGCTCAGTCCCTGGGACAAGATGGATCGTAATGTGCACTTGAATCTCCATACTCTGGGTGTCCCTAACCTGGGAACATCTGTGGTACAGAGGAGGAAGCGGCTCTGCACGCTGCTGCCACTTCTCCCTCCCCTCCACTGGGGGCATGGAGCCTGGGGTGGCGAGAGACACGGAGCCATGTGTATCCCCGGGAGCGGGGCTGCAGGTAAGCGTCCCACGCCCATCCTCCTCACACCCACATTCCACAGCGCCCTCCCTGGCTTGGCAAAATCTGTAATCTGTCAATCCTGTTCCTAGAGTTGCTGGATTTAAGAGGTTTAAGCATATTTCAGGAACATGATTCTGGGCCCATAGGCCAACGGGCTCCTCTCACCCCATGACTCTGGATTTTAGATGCTCTCCCTCTGTTCTCACTAGCAGTATTCCCACTCTTGGGCCCCACTCTAGTGGCAGGAGGGGGCTTTTGGCCTGCTCAGCCCCGACTGCCCTGGCTCAGAGAGGCGGCTGGTAGCATGAGGCTTTGTGCATCAAAAACAGGGATCAACCCACCACAAACCTTCCGCTGAGGACTGAAAAATTCCCATGAACCAATCACGGGGCAAGTGAACCAGTCTCTGTTGCAGCATCCTCCCCCAAGGGCTCCCTTTGTATTGTTACCAAGAAAACGGGGCGATGGCCAGCCAACTCACTGCTCATTACCAACAGTGCTGGACAGAACAACACGGTGTTTTTTATTCACACATCCCAGGAGTAAGAGCTACCCACAAAGAGGAGGGAGGGACAGAGAAGGTCAGTCAGGGTCCCCGCCCTCAGGGGAAGAAAGCAAACACTCGATTAGAGTCAGCGTGGCGAAGGAACTGAGAAAGGGGATTGGAACCCAGGCGTTTGGGGGCCCCTAAGCAAGTCACTTTCTTTCCTTGGGCCCATTGCTCCCCCTTTGCCAAATGGGAGTATTGATGCTTCTCTACCTCACAGGGGCATGGGGAGGCTTAATTTGCAAAGTGCTGGATCCCTGCCAAGTAGGATTATCTTCTCTCAGTGTAACAGCGCCTCCCAGCTGCAAGGACAGGCGTCTCTAATCCCCGAACCGGACCCTTCCCACTTCACAGTCCCCACTATCCAAAGTGTGGTGGGGCCCAGTTATCTCTGGGCTCAGCCACGGCACCAGCTGCTGTTCTGGGATTAAACTGGGGGAACCTGAAACCTGAGAGATCCCACCCAACAAGCTCCTGGCAAAACCCCTCTCCCTAGGTGCTAAGCTTCTGCCCTGTGGCAGTCCTATGAGATGCCCCAGCATCTGTTTCAAACCTCTGGCCCTACGCTCTCAGGTAAGCACAGACACTATGGCTTCACTGGCTATTCTCCAAAGCGTTGCTTCGTGTAAACTGGGCCTCTTTCAGGCTATCCCACCAAGGAGGGGAACATGGGAAAGACAATGGGGCCTTTGAAAGCTCTCAAAGAGTCTGTGTCCAGATGGGAATTGGCCCAGGGCACCTCCTTTTCAAGAAATACACCAGTCGCTTCTCTGGAGAGGTAGAGATGGAAAGGAGTCCAAATGCAACCTAAAGAAAACCCAGAGGGAGAGGCAGGTCAGGGGTCTGGCTGTGACCTCTTAACAGCAGGATGACTGAATGTTTTCCTCCCTCTCATCGGCAACCTGGCACACACCACTGGCAGCTGCCCAGCACACATGTCCCTCCCTGCCAGCTGCCTATCCCTTGCCCCCTGACTGGGCTAGTGATTGAGAAGTTGCCTTTGGGAGACTGTTTCACTAGGTTGGGCATGGCCTGAGACAGAGCTACAATCCCTTTTAGCACCTCTCCCTGCCCATCTTCTGGTGAAATTCTGCCCTTTACTGTGACACCACTAGCAGGATACACCACCACACGCCCAATCCCTAGCCTCCTTTCTGCCCTCAGTGCCCACCATTTCTGCCACGAAGCAAGAACACGGTTGTGGATCCCAGCCCGTGTAAGTGGCACTGCTCTGTGCCTGCACACTGCCATCGTGGTAGCAAGGATGAATTAGTCCCAGCCAGGCAGCACTTCCTGCTAGTGCCCTAGAGGTGCCATCAGTCTGCCCCGCTGTTGGGCTCTCCAAGGCTTCCCCTCCCCACACGTCTCAACCCTGCCTACCCAGCTGGGTTAGGAAGTCACAGCAGGTTTGGGAGTGGGGTCATGCATGTGGTACAGGCTGCTCTCTGAGTCCTCAGGCACCTGCAAAGACAGCGAAACTTCCATCAGGCCCCAGTGCCTGTTATGGTGCTATCCACAGAGCCTGCTTTCCTGCCAGTGCGTGGGGAGGGAAGGGGGGGGGGGTTGTGTGTCATAGCCACAGAGATGGGGAGGGAAACTATAAACAATATGGCCATGACACAGACAACAGCGCCACCTTGTGACGCATCCCAACTCCCAAACAGACCCCATAGCTCAGGCAGAAAGCCACAAACAGGTCCCCAACACCTCCCCTAACCACTCATTACCTTGGCCATTTGGACACTGAGTCCCAAATCTCCATCAGCCAAAGGGCACCTGACTGTGACCCCGTCCCTTCTGGCAAACACAGACACCCGTCTCCAAAGCCTCCTGCCCTAGTCACAATGACAAGGACCAGCCTCAGAGCCCCCAGTGTTCACCTCCCAGTAGACATCATCCGCGAAGCAGTTCTCATCAGCTGGGTCCCCCAGGAACGGCACTTTCAAAATACCACCTTAAAGCAACAAAACAGAGTGAGATGGGAAATGCCTCGATTAGTGAGAAACAAGCAGCCAGGGCCAGGGGCAAGGACTAGGAATGGGCCCCACTGGTCTGAGTAGCCAGGGGAGGGAGGTGTCAGGGAAACTATTCCTTCCCTGAGTTGTCAGTGAAGGGAAGTTGGATCAGTTTTGTGCATGTCCAGCCCTGATCTTTCATATTCTCCCCACCCTGCAGGCCTTGGGGTGGGGTGGTCTTGTTTTTGGGAGGGTTATTTAGTGAAGTTCCCAATCTGGGAGTAATTTTAAAGGGTGAAGCATGGGTGCATTATAACAATGTGGACTACCCTGTGGGACACAGCTGGGGAAGGGGCCATCTCTTCTCTTTCTATCTGTGAGAGGCTGAAAGCAGAAAAGCACTTCCTAGAAGGGAGATCTGCTTGTGAGTGAATTGCTCTGACAGAAGCCATTGCCCTGGGAAGCTGTGGGAGAAGTTTGAGCTAGAATTCTGCCCTATTCTTATCCCCTCTCCCCCCAGATGGTAGCAGCAAAACAGTCCAATGGGAAAAAGCAGAGCATCTGACTGCATGTTGTGACGTAGTGGGGGAACCTTGCTGGTTGCTAGGCTTGGGCTGTGGGTGACCCCCACTGGCTGCTGTCTGTACCACGGCCCAGCCGAGTAGCTGATGGGACAGGGAGGTAACCTGTTCTACCAGTTACGCCCCCAGGGAGAGGAACAAAGGAAGGTGGAATGCCGCCCCTGGCTGGGGGGCAGGGCTGGAAGGGACGGTTTTTAGTTTCTGTCTGGGAAGCAGGGGAGAAGGAGCTAGGGAGCAGGCTGGGATTGTAGCGCCCAGCCACCCCCCATCTCAAGGGGGGGGGGCACTGAGGCCTGCCCTGTAACCAGATTACATCTGTGCTGTGCTGTATCCTGGAGAAGCAATAAACTCCCTCTAGTCTACTGGCTGGTGGAGTCTGTTTGTGCCACTACAGAGGTGCAGGAGACGGGAAAACCCCAATGCACCGTCACACATGTGTAACACCTGGGCAGCCAATCCAAGGCTGACCCTGAACTCAGCACTGAACCAAACCAGACTCACATCTAACTCAACCCAATCACAAACTAAACCTGGCCCCCTCAAAGACAGCCCCGGATGACTCCGCAGCCATCTCTAAACTGGCTCAAGGACTTCAGCTGAACGACCTGCTGAGATATAAGGTTCTACATTTACTGGTCTGTTTCTTCTCCCTTTCTGGGCTTGTGGGGTTCAGCTGGAAGCAGAAGCATCGGGGACCACACAAGTCCTGGCCTGTTTTCCCTCCAAAGATTCAGTCCTGTTTGGCAAACATAACTGATCCCCTAAAATAGTTATGTTCCCCATTCATTGTGGCTTTCCTGGTTCTTGGGGCTATTTTCCAGCCCTCCTGTTGGTTCATAACATACCCTAAAGTCTCATCCTGCTATGCCTGCTTGTTAAAAAAGGACAGAGTGGCAGATGGGGCTTCAGAACATCTGGGCAATTCCCCCCATCAGGCTGTCAAAGATGTGCCTTATTCCAGTGTGTCTCATGACAGTCGATGTGCAGGGAGCTTGCCAGGATCTGGATATTCTGCTGGGGCCCTGCAGGGCACAGCACAGAGCTGCTGCAGCAGGAGGTCTCAGCTCCAGGGGAAAGCACTTTTGAAAATGACATCATTTCAGCCAGTCCACATGACATCATGACCCTGGCAGTAATGCACTGAACTTTTAAAAGGTTGCTGTGATAGAGACAACGTGGAACAAAATGTTCCCCAGTCATAGTCCTTGATACGCCACGTTTGCAAGCCTGAGGGCTCCTGTCATTTTCAGGGGCTGCATGTGGGAGCAAAAGGGCTCGTCTAGCTCAGAAGACAGTCTCTTCCTCTAAGTCAGGGAGAGAGCAAGTAGAATGGCTGAGCCAGCCACTCTCCAACCAAAGCCTGGATCTGGAGCCTTCTCCTTTCCTTGCACCCCACCACTCACCCACAATGGTCCCCCCAGCTAAGGCCATAGCCAGGGACACACAAATGCCAGCTGCCTGGAATCCCCCTTGGATACTGGGTGTCCGATCCTTGTAGTCACCTGTGAAGTCAAAGGCACTGATGAGCCTGCAAGGAAAGGAAACAATGAAACCAGTTGTCAGAGACACTCCTGACACTCAGGGAGTCTGGGCTGCAGAAACAGGGGAGCTGCATCCACTGTCCCTTCAAGCCAGCCCCCTGGCCCTGAGAGAACACATTCCCATCGAGGAGTGGGGAGATTGTAGCAACATAGCCCAACCTCTTTGCTTTTATTCCTTCTTTTACAGCCTACCCCTCTCCCCCCGAGACCTCAGCCTGGACCAACAGGCTGCAAACTAGAGGAATCCAAAAGCAACAAGACCTGAGATGGATTCCAGACCTTCATGGTTTAGCCTAGCGTCTGGCCCAGAAAAGGAAGCAACAGTGATAAAGAGATGCCCTTTCATGAACTCAGCTGCCCCTCTTCAGAGTCCTCCAAGACCCGGAATGATGATGGGGCTTGGGGTTATAGGGGCTCCCAATACGGAATCACCTGGAACAGGCTGCAGTCCTCCAAGCCTGACTCGGCTTTATATGCCCAGCACCACCTAGGACACACATCTGAAAGGGAGCACAGAGCTGCTGCCACTGACTCATCTCGTATCTCCCTTGGGAGCAACACACACACTGACCCCTGGAGAAATTTAAACCATCTCACCCTTCCTTTCCATACACCTCTTCAGTGGCTGCGGCTGCAGTGACAGCCCCCACAATGCCCCCAATAAGTCCTGGCATAGCATGTAGGTTGTGGATGCCACAGGTATCCTGAATATGCAGCTTGGACTCCAGGAATGGCTGGAGGGGAGAGAGGAGAGAGAGATTATTTCCTCTCCCTAAAAAAGAGGCAAGAGCCTGGAACTCCTCTGAGCAGTGCTCACCATGAAGTAGATGAACCCAACGGTGGACACGATGCCACAGAGGAATCCGACGATAAGGGATCCGTATGGAGTCAGCATCATCTCCGCGCCAGACCCCACAGCCACGCCACCGGCCAGCGTTGCATTCTGGATATGAACCTGTGCAAATAATGCTGATGCCTTACCACTTTGGCTTGGGGACAAGAGTTTTAAATCCATTAGTGGTAAGACTTCAAGCCAACCAAGGAGAACAGCAGGGGAACTGGCTGAGAACATGTTCCCAAAGAAAAATGAGGATCGGGGCCCATGTTCTTCTGCATTAGAATTGGCTTCCTGCCCATCGCAAAGTCCCAATTCCTGGATTTGCCCGAAGCCAGAAATTTTTGACCAGCAAAAGTTACATGAATGGGAGGAGACTGAAGGCCAAATATCAACAGCTGATGGGCTGAGGCAACATTTTCATGTAGTGGTAACAAAAAACTGCACATTCACATGCACATTGCTGCACAGATATTCCCAGAGCATGGCACTGATACAAGCAAAACCTGCTGTCTCACACAATCATGCACACACACCCAGAACATACCAGGGCCCTGCTCTAATACACACGTCATTGTACGTGGCCCCCTCTCTTGCAAACACGCACACCTAGCTTTATATACTTGCATGACACTGTACAGTTCAACCCTGGAACATGCCCACCCTCCTGAGACCCTTCCCACTGGCTCTTCTGCACAAATGTCTGCACGGCTCTGCTACCCACTGGGTTTGCTGGCAGGTACACGGGTGATCACATATATCTGCTCCTGCATTTGCCCACCACACACCAGGTGACGCATGGATACTGCACATGGTTTTCATGCCAGAGCTTTGCAAAATGATGTTTCCCACTAAGAGAGCACAAGCGGCTGTCGCATTCAGAGCTCCTAATCTCAGGGGCTTTGCCTTTTCAGCACCCTACAAAATCGAGTGCACACTCAACACAGGAAGCAGCCCAGATCAGTCATTCATGAGCCAGGAATCCTCTTGCCAGCAGAGGGCACACAGACCTCTCCAGCCAGGGCTTACCATGTCCAGCTTTCCTTTCTTCTGCAGCAGGCTGGAGAAGGCCACGGTGGTGAGCACACAGGAGGCCAATGAGCAGTAAGTGTTAATGGCGGCTCGGTGCTGCGCGTCCCCATGGTTTGAAATAGCCGAGTTAAAGCTGGGCCAGTACAGCCACAGGTACAGGGTACCTGGGAGAGGAATGGCAGGAGTGGGACGGTGTGGGGGGAGGTGTAGGAAGGAGGGGAAGGAAAACAGGAAGCAGCAAGGGGAAGAGGAGTTCAAAAGAAGAGATGAGAAGTTATATAGTGAGGAAGCTAAAGCCAGCTATGTCCCAAACTCCAAATCAAGAACTCCAAGATGCAATAGGATTTGGAGTCTTTCATATCGGCTATGTCTACACTGCCGGTTTTGCAGGCAGTGTGTATGCAAATGAGGGGATGATTAGCATATTGCCATGCCTCATTTGCATAATTTATGCAAACCAGTTTTGCCCAGGGGGGAGTAGTGTGGATGTTTTCTTTTTACGCAAAAACCCTTTTCCCCATCAGATTGGTAAACCTCCTTTTTGGGGGCATAAGGATCTGCGGGAAAAGGGGTTTTTGCACAAAAAGAAAACATCCACTCTACTTTTTTTTCCGCAAAAACCCTTTGTGCAAAACCGGTTTGCATAAATTATGCAAATGAGGCACGGTGATATGCTAATCCATGCCTCATTTGCATACACACTGCCAGCAAAACCGGCAGTGTAGACGTAGCCATTGAGGGTACCAGTTCCAATCAGTGCCCAGGCTGGGAGTTGTGGGGTGTCTGTCAATGGCACATGGAACTTGCAATTCTAGGGCATTAGTTCTAAGCTGATCTGGCTGGGGAGCGTGTGTGTGTTGGGCGATAGGGCTGACCAGGATTGGGAAATGGGATATACAGTTTTTCACCACTGGGGCTCTGGCTCCAGCCTGGCTTCATGCAGCCTGTGGGCTGTAGACGGGATCCAGCATAGCTTTCATAAGTTTCCAAGTTCCCAGGTAACTCACCGATCATAGCAAAGAGGTCAGAGTGGTACACAGAACCTTGCTTGTCTTTGCTCTGTTCCAGGTTGGGCCGGTACAGAATTGTGGTCACTGTCAGGCCAAAGTAGGCTCCAAAGGTGTGAATGGTCATGGATCCACCAGCATCTTTAACCTGTGAACACAGAGAAGAGTAAAATTCACATGCTGGGAATATTCTGGCCAATTAACTGACTGTCTACCCAGCCTGTGCTAGGTCACTGCAGGAGGGGAATAGAAATGCTCCTGGCCCCTCGGACTACCAAGCAGAACAGCTCAGCCACATCCTTCCAATTAGCCTCTTCTGTGGAAGGCATCATGGCAATGGGGAATTTCTGGCCCTTCCAATGTTTGACACCATGGCATATAGGTTCCAACAGCAGAACTACCCCAAGGTGGCAGTCCCAGCATGAGCAAATGAAAGGGCAGACACAGAACAATACTTTTACATCCGAGTTTATTGCCCTGGGAAATTTGGGGCTTTTTGAACAAATATTAAAAAGCCACAAAACTCTCGGAGCAGAGATGGACAGAACCAAACCAAAGGCCCAATCCTCTGCCCGAAGAACATTGACAATGTTCAGATCTGAATTCAAACTTCCTAGTTAGTCATTATCGTCTCCCTCACCAACAGAAGTTGGTCCAGTGAATGACATTACCTCATCTACCCTGTCTTTCTAGGAGCCTGGGACCAACATGGTTACAACAACACTGTATACGTAGGTCAGTGACATTTGGCATGTCAAAAAACCCAGTTCCTCTGTGGTGACTGATGCTTTGTGTTTCATTCAGCTGGGCTGATCAGTTTCACTTGTTGCCTCTCAAATGCCCCTGCACATTTGGGCTTCCAACAGTGGAGGATTTATCTGTGCTGGCATTTAATTTTAAAACATGAAACTGTTTCCCTAGTGGTTAGAACACAGGCCTGGAAATCTGGAGACCAGCAGTGCTGGGTTCTAGTCCTGATTCTCTCTCTGGCCTGATGGGTATTCTTGAAAGAGCCAAGTCAATTTTCTGTGACTCACTTCCCCACCTGTAAAATGGGAAGTGTGTTGCTTACTTCATTTCTAGAGCACTTTGAGATCTATGGATGAAAAGTAATATGTAAAACCTAGGAAATATTCCTCTGCATCTGGAGTATTCTATCCCCACCTCCAGCTGCACGTAAGCTCAAGGTGATTGGGTTCCCCTTTCAGACCAAATTGATTTTCCTTTAACGCAGTAAAAATTTGCACGTGGCCAGAGGTCTTGCTGCTCCTTTACCTGACAGCTCTTCCACTTTATGATGTGCTCTGATTTTCTTCAACTAAAGGAATAGTATAACAGGGGAAGGAGTCAACAGAGAAACATTCTGGAACCAGGAAGGTTGTAGCTACAACACAAGAAAAAAACCCTGCAGCAGCAAGTTTCCAGCCAGAATGGAGACACTTACGCTTATTTTTAGCCCAGTTGACCTGGGCTCTGAAACTTTCTGCTGTTCAAGTTTTCTGCAGCGTAGACATACCCAAAGACAGCATCAGGCCTTTGTGTGGAGACACCCTTAGAAAACCTCACCAGAGGGGATCCTTTGCTCTCAGGTCACTGCCAATGCTTGCAGAACCCTGGGAGATTTCCCATTGCCAGTAAGGTAGGCAAGCAGGGGGAATAGCCAAAGGGCAAGGGGAAAGAGCCTCTGCTGTTTGTTCATGTATGCATTTTGAATCTTTTTACACTTCTACTTAAATTGCTGTGACTGCAATTAACCCCATGTGTTTAGCCAAGCAAAGAGCCAATAGATCTGACCTACAGACAGCTCTGCCGCTGCACCATGCGCCCAACTTGCACACCCAGCCCAGCTGTTGACGCTCCCTTTGCACTGCCAGAGAGGCAGGGCGGGAGGCTGCTGATTTTGCTGACTCAAGGGGAGCCTTACATGGAGCAGGCTAATGAGGATGTACTCGTTCACAGCAAAGAGTGTGACTTGAAACAACGTCAGGATGAGCAGCTGCACGGGGCTGGTTTTGCCCAGGATGGCTCCAAAGGCGATGCAGACAGAACCCACGCAGAAATCCGCATTGATCAGGCTGGGGCATGCGGAGAGGGGAGAAAACGATCTGCAGGTTAGTAATGGAAACCCTTCCCACCATCCCTCCCACTCTAGACAGCTTCCACCAGGCCAAGACACACGAATCTCATTCTGACTTTCCTACTGGCACCCCACACAGCATCCCTCTCCTGCTGGGCAGTAACAGCATGGGTTCATAAATGGAAAGCCAGAAGAGACCATTATGATCATCTGGTCTGACCTCCTAACAGAACAGGCCATGGAATTTCACAACAATAGCTCCTAGAGCAGATATTTTAGGAAAACACTCATTCTTGATTTTAAAATGGCCTCCCAAGACTGAGGATAAGCAATGGGGCTAGGCCTTTGAAAATATGGTCTCACTTGGCAGGTCACGCCAGGCTACTTCTCTCACCACCCAACAGCACCAGCCACCTCCCTAGAGTGAAGGGTGGAAGCCAGACTGAGGCACAGAGCACCCTGCACAGCTGAGAAGCAGTGAGGGAACTGGGACCAAAGATTTTTTTCTTATGAAGCAGGCTCCATGGGGTTTTTAACAACAGGCAGGGTAGAAGATATAATATGACCTAGAATGCCGTTTTTCCACACAGAGCAGGGGCAGGCGCGCCAGGCTGCTTGGTCCCCTCCCTGGCTTCCCCTAGGCCAAAACCCTCTTACTTTTCCACTCCAATGAGTATCTTTCCGTTCTCAAAAGAATGGAACCAGCCCTGCATCAGGATAGCCCACTGGATCCCAAAGGCAGCAAGGAGGAAGTTGAAGCCAACAGCTCCAAAGCCATAGCGCTGGAGGAATGTCATCAGGAAACCAAAACCCACGAAGATCATTACATGGACATCCTGGAAAGCTGTGTTGGAAAGAAGCATTCACCATTACCATGGAGGTGAGGGGCAGCAAAGGGCTTCTGCAGCTTAGGAACTCAGCAATAGACTTAGTTCACAAATACCAAGAATTTTTCAGGGTTTTATTTCAAAATTTCTCAGTTTCATTTTCTCATTTCATATTCATTTAAAACGTTGCACAAACATTTTTAAAAGAAATTGAAAAACGACAAACCTTCTGTTTTCAGAAATCTTTTGTGGTAAAAGCCTTTGACTTTCAGGGAAAAAAAACCCATCAGTGTTTGGAAAGCCCTTTCAGGACACATCATTGATTTTCATTTCAGTAAAAATAGTGTATTTTTAAAACAAAATTATTTTATAAAATTGCCCAGAACTGTAAAGCACAGATATCTACTAACACATTTTTTTTCAGTCTCCATTTTTAACAACAACCAAATCCTCCTCCATCAGGGACTTTGATTCAGAATTAACATTTTCTACACACACTTTTGCTCTTTGTGAACTAACCCTTTTTTATTAAAAAAAATTAATTTGTTTTTAACCATTTCTGCCCAAATACCTGTTTCTGGTCAGAATCAGCAGTCGCTGGCTGTTCTCCACTTTCCTGCACTGAGAACTATTCTGAGTCATTCTTTTTGTTATCATAACACATATGAATGAACCCCAGTCATGAACTACGCCCCCAGTGTACTAGGCACTAAGGATGTTAATAGTACCAGTTAGCTGGTAAACCTCACCCTTAATGGTGAGGGATGCTCCTGCCGCACTGTGGACAAGGGGCGCTTCAGCCTCGGCAGGCAGAGGGACTGCTCCTTGTTTTATTGGTTAACCAGTTAAACTTAACATTTAACCGGTTAACTAATAAAATGGGATTTTACATTCCTACTAGGCACTGTACAAACACAGAATAAAAAGGGACTTACAATCTAAGTATAGGACAAGAGAGAGCAGATTCATAGAAGTGGCACACACTCTATACTCTCTTCAGTGGAAGGCAAAATCTTGGTTCCAGGGAAGTTAAAGGCAAAACTCCCATTTATTTCAATGGAGTCAGGATTTCACCCAGGCTATGTCTACACTACAGAGTTTTTCTGGGATACCAGGGGCATCCCATAAAAACTCTGCCATGTCCAGGGAATGTGTCTGCTCTTCCAAAAAAATTTCAGAAGAGCAGACACACTTTTTCAGCATCCCTGTAAACCTAATTTTACAAGGAAGAAGGGATGTTCTGAAAAAGGTTTTTTTTCCAACATTTGGCCCAGTGTAGATGGGCCAAATGTTGAAAAAGCCTCTCCTGAAAAAAGAAGCAGAAAAAGCTACACAAATTGTGGTTCAGAATTTGCGTAGTTTTTTTCCGGAAGAACTGTGTAGTGTAGACATAACCTCAGAGATTTTCATTCGTTTTTTCATTGAGTTCTCAATGGAAAGTGAACGTTTGGATGGAGACCCACAGCTGCTTTACTGGACACTTGTTTACCAGCTCCAACACTGCTCCATCTGTTCTGGTAGGAAAATTAATCCCTAGAGAGGAATTCTTGATGTGATAAACTTTGAAGCAGATATCACTGCTGCTGGTGTCTTTTTGATAATGATCAGCCCCAAGAATGTTAAGTGAAACTTCACACAATTATAAATTAAACTTTAAAAACTGCAGATGCAAACCTCCAGAGCCCCGGAGTAAGAGTAGGACGACAGGAGCCAGTTTCCTCCACCAGTTCCCTGGGGGATCCTACATGCAAACCGGTGTGTGCTGCACTTTGCCACAGCAGAATGGAATGGGTAAACATACCACATTACTCAGACATATCAGCCAATGTTTGTGCTACACAGTGTGTGAGATATTGCAAAATGGCACAGTCTATTTGTTGTCCAAATGCTTGGGCATAGTAAGCTTAAGCCCTCTTAGAGAAAGGCAAACACCAGGCAGCTAAATTGCACGGAATCTGGTCTAGGCTCTGACACAATGTATTTTCCAGCCCCTTTTCCAGTGTTCAGAGGCCAGCTGTGTTATGGTGGCTAGTTTGCAGGCTAGTGAACGTACACATCTTGAGAGGTATGGAACGCAGGTCTGATCCAGCTCCCACTGGGGAGGAAGCGAGTCTGGATGGGGTCCAATCACACAGAATCACACTGTGGCTTTTATTTGTTCTTTCAGCAAAGCCTATGAAAATCCATGCAGAGGAGCTACAATGCCAGATTCACAGCTGGTGTAAGTCAACATAGTTCCACTCATTTCAACTCAGCTCTGCTGATTGACATTTGAGACCTATGTGGCTGTAGCCTCAGCTAGTGTCAATCTGCATGCATGGTACACCCAATTTACCTCACAACACTTAAGTACACTTTCCCCTACATATACAACAACATTCTCTCTTTTTTTTAAGACATCCACTGAGTCTATTGGCAATTAAATATTAACTGACATTTCCCACTTTAACAAAAACATTTAAACAAAAGCAGGACCATAAGAAATAATACATATTATAAGCCCCAGGAATCAGAGTTCAGTTGAGATGTTAATTATATTATTTTCTTATTATTTATCTGTTCTGTGGTAGCACAAGGAGTCCTACTCATGGGCCAGGATCCTGCTATTCTAGGCATTGTACAAACACAGAACAAAGAGACCATCCCTCTTCAAAAGAGTTTACAAGCTAAGGAAAGCTTTGTACTTGGTTTGCCCTTGTGTGACTATGTGTCACATGGGCAGAATAGGAGTTGTGATGCCCTTAAGTTTTTATTACATTGCAATTGAGTACGTGGGGGTTTAGTTGTCATTTAGCAACCTTCACTATTTACTGACAGGAAGCGTGTGGTCTCTGGAAATACTGTCTACACCAGGGCTACTCAACTTTGGAAGCCTCGGAGGCCACAATGATACATACAGCATTTATCAAGGGCCGCAACTTAAGTGTGTTTGCATATACATGCAAATATATATGCAAATATATGCAAATAGCTTCTCTCACACTGATGGGATTGAATACAAAGATTAAGGCAAGACTACACAACACGAAGGCTCCATTTAAGTCAGATCTGCTGATATTAATAAAATACAATATTTACCCGATTTCCAAGCATAAAACAACACTTTTAATGAGCAATGACGGTCCAGGAATTTAACTACTAAAACACATATCAGCAGAAGACCATTATATTGACTCGCTGTTGTGTAGTGTGTTCCCAGCGGAGGCCATGTTCAAAGGATCCCAGCCACGGGCCGTGTGTTGAGCCCCATGTAAACCCAAAACACACCGCAGGCTGCAAACAAATGGGCCGTGGGCTGCATGCAACCTGCAGGCCATGTGTTGAGTAGCCCTGGTCTACACTGAAGAACCTTTGATCCCTTCTCCTTCTACTCTCAACAGATGATTCATCCTCTAGGGAATTTCACCAGCTGATTTTAGATTCAAGTGAATGTTAGTGCTGCTGCTGAAGGTGGCTGAATTGACACCCCTGGAAACGTGTACCCCTAGAACAGTTAAAAACTTCCTCCCTGCCCACATTTGTATAGCCCTGCTCCGGAGGAATCATCTCTAGGATCAGAAAAAGAGTTTCCCAAGCCTGTTCACTTTTTGTCTGCTGCTATTTTGTGAGTACCTTCTACCACGGCACAAACCAGATCAGTTCTGCTGTGATTCCAAGGATGGAAACTAATGAAAAACATCTATCAGGACCACTTGGACCTGCTCTAAGCAGAGATGACAGAAAAAATGTCAGTGTCCTATCTGCTCTAGCATTGCCACTACGCACAGAGCCACATTAGAGCTAATGTCACCAAGGGAGATTTGAGCAAATAGCTTACTCTAGACACAGTAGCTACCCTACCAGCTTGTTTATATATATTTGCACAAGTGCAATGAGTGTGTGCACAGCTCGTTGTGTACACAGGGCCATCTGTGGATTAACAATGGTTGGAGAAATGGTTTTCAAAGGTAAATCATTTTCTGAAAGACAGTCCTTAGAACCAACTGGTCCATTCTCCAGTTTCTCGGTTCTTTAACTATCACACATGGGCTTTATAATGGAAATGTTCTAAGCAGATCTGTAGCTCAGTCCCTAATGCAGCCTAGAAAACAATCACCAATCTATGCAGAATTGTCTCAAATGTCGCTCACCAGGTTGACTCACACCGGATGGGGGCTCAGGCCAGTTGTAAAGGGGTTAGCCAGCTGATTGATCCCTGTGGCAAAATGAGACAATGGACCAAGTGCCTAGGGAACTGTTGAGAGCCAGTGAAGACTCAGACACCAAAATGGGATCAGCAATCCAGGAGAATTTCTCTAGGAAGCTAGACCTCCCCATCTGAGATTGGCAGGTATTGTGTGTCCTGTTTACCCTAGGCTGGGACAAGACAAACCTAGAAGGGGTTAAATGCTAACCCTTGGCCTTCAGGGATCATCCAGTTTATTAAACAAGGCAAAGTCAGCTCTCTATGGCATACCTGCTCTATGGGTGCTGTGTCTATGGCATCCATGAACTTTATGCGAATCGTGCCTACACTTGCTGACAAGGAAGGACATGACCTAGTAAGGAGGCTGCCAGCCTGAGATACTGCCATTAAGCTTGGGTCTTGAAAGCCTCTTTGAAAGATTTGACTCTGAAATCCTCAAGGTCTCTCAGCAGTAGTTTGTCACACTTACTGCAGCTGTCATGACAATGTTGCAAGGAAAGGGGTGTGTACTACTGCCATCTCCTGGCCAGAATCAGAACAGCACTGTGTAGCATAGGCCCCATACAGCTAACAGACATCCTCTCGTAGCCCAAGTGGTGGGGCTAGGATTTTGGAGTATGCTGATCTGACTCCCAAAGCCACTGTCACTTTGTAGTTCCAAGTGGTCAGCATGTGCAACTCAGCTCCTAGGTGCCCACAAGCTCCTAGGTGCCCACACGTTTCTGACACATTCCCACAGAGGTCCTTTCCTCTTTGTCTCACTGAAATACCTGCAGTTTCCCAAGCACTTTGCCGGAAGGCCTTGGAAGATCTTGCCCTCTGCCTTGCTCAGCAACCAAAGTCATTTTCATTTGCCTTTGACGTCTCCCTGAACTTGTGCCAAGCAGGGATGGATGGCCCCTCCCTCCCTCAAACTGGATGACCTGGAATCCTGGCTCCAGTGCACTCCCATACTGTGTCCTCTCAGGTGGAATTTCCCATCAGTGGAGCTTGGAGGAGTCGGCTTTTTCTGGTTGTTGCTGCTGCTGCTGCCTCCACCCCCCTGTCCTCATGCACCCAGTTCACCCTCCTCATACCTGCCTCCTCCCCTTCCCCCATTATACACCATAGCTGGTTTGTTCCAGACAAGAGGGCTCGTTCCCCAGCTGCAGTGCTCTCCCCTCCTCAGGGGACTCAGAGGTGATGCCTGCCACACTCTATGGTCAGGGGCACGGTCCCCCTCCCCCATCCCTGAAAGAGCCGTGTGTCCCACCGACTCCCTCAGAAACACTGTGGGCTGGCAGCATTTGGCATTGCTAGGTGGACAGCACTGGAAACTGCTGGGAGAGAGAGAGTGTCATCCACCCCACTGATCTTCCAATGCCAGCTAAACCTGGACTGATTGGAACCCTCTCATCTAAGGAAAAGGGCCCCTGTAACCCCACTTGTACCACCACTGTCCTCCCCCCCCATTGGAGCTCAAAATAACAGAATGCCTGAATTTGCTCAAAGGTTTCCACAGAGATCATTTGCCTGAGGCACCATCCCAAACATGCTTGGAGGTTCCTTTGGGGACACCCACGGGAATGGCCTTGGCTCTGCCAGTGGACCAGCCCTCACCTGGGGGCTCAGCTCAGAGTTTGCTCCCAAAGCTCTGAGGGCTGGATGTGATCAATGCTCTTTCACCAGGGAAGGCCCTGTCTCCTGCCGCGGCTGCACCTTTTCCATTGCAGGCCTAAGGCAGCTGTGTCTCTCCTAGCTGACACCCCCCACTGCAAGGGCCACAGCGTCTCCTCCACGCCATGAGATGCTGTGCATGGAGCACTCCAGATCTGGTAATTTGGCACAACAGTTTAGGTCCTCCTTGGAGGCTCCAACTTCTATTCCCTACAGCTCCCGCCACCTCTCCCCTGCTATCGGCCTCACTCTCTGGCTTTCCATCCCCTAGAGCTGGTTAGCCTTCCACTCACCCTCACCTTGCCCATCAGTGTATTTTAAACCAGCTAATAAGGGGATGAAAAGTCTCAGTTTAGGTGTGCGGGAGTGAAACTGGGCTGGTTCCAATGGGCTAAACTTCCCAGTGTGCTGTACAAGAGGATACATCTGTGGTGGGCGACCCGCGGCCCATCAGGGCTCGGTGTGGTGCCCATGAAACATTTTGTTTACCATTGCCCAGGTGCAGGGTTGCCAGATTCTGCTGGTTTCTGTCTGCAAAATGCTTTTTCCTACTGGTATTACAAAAGCGACACACGTGTAAAGCAAGGGGAAGTGAAGTGAGGTGGGTGCTGATTGCACATGGCACTGAGAGAGCTGTGCGCTCCCTCTGTCGCCCATCCAAGCGCTGCTGCGGTACAATGGGCGCGCCCTGCACATTCTAAGTCGGCAAGCGCAGGTAGAAGAGCTGCCTTATCTGGGGAGGCCGTCTTGGTGATTATCATCTTGCAGCCCCCTGAGATGAAGGAGGACCATGCCTGCGGCCCACTCACTAGCCTCGGTTGCCCATTGTGGGGATACCTTGTTGCAGCAGATGCTAGTCTGCAGCAGTTTCATTAGCCGGTGTGAGGCTTTGTCAGAGAGCGGAGCCGAGTACTGCAGCTCTGGAGCATGCTGAGCTGCCTGGCAGCTGGTGAAACTGACCCACTCTCATTGCTAGCTCCTGGGTTAGCAAAGGAAAGCATTTTGTTCAGGAAGCCCAAGCAAGGGTGTCAATGGCAAGGGCCCCAGCGCCCACTATCTATCTGCCTTGAGGCTGGGAACGCACAAACCCCCAGAGGCAGATCGTACTTCCTTGTTACACCCATGTGTCATGACTGAGCCCCAGGCACCTGTCAGTCATCTCCCTGCCCTCAGCTGACCCCAGGGCAAAGTAGCCTGCAGTAAGTACATCAGCCCTTCAGTACCTGTTTGATTTACCTCTGGGTGGCTGTAGCCAGACACAAACCCCATCTTGGTTTTCCACGAACCCCATCTTGGTTTCCCCCCCCCCCAGAGAGCAAGAGAAAGGCAGTCAGCCTTTGATGCCCTGATGCCTGTCCCTGACTCTACCATAAACAGAAACCAGACAGTAAATGGGCTAACTGACGACCCGGGGCCTCCCGTCGCCCTGATGGCTAGTACCAGTAATTGACACGCCTGCACTGTCCCAGGAGAGGAATCTTCGCCCATCACATACCAGAGGTGCCCATTGTCTGCATTTTCCCAGGTGTAAATTATGCTTTGCACCCTTCGTGGGAAACTTGGTGTTCAAAGCCATTTTTCCTAATTGGCCACTTGAAACCAGGAAGAAGCCTACATGACCCAAGGGGTATAAAGAGGGGTTTAGTAGCCCACCCCCTTTGAGCTCCAAACACCTACACCTGCAGGTATTGATTGTCTCCCGAGGTCTGTGGGACGCCCAACCTCGCCCTACTTCTTCCCGAGGGATTGAGAGAAAGACGCTGGCCACGCCAAGTCTGGAACGCAGGGGTGAGAATATATACCTGCTATGTGTCTATTTTGCATGCATTTAATAAGAGCTCAGAGAACCAAAAGGGTTTCATGGTACCTGTAAGTGACTTCTTAGTGTAATTTCTGTCCTGTCCTTTGTAGTGTCTGTGTTATCTGTAACACAGCAGTAGCATTTAACAACTAAGTTTACCCTGTAACAATAAAATAGTAACTGTTTAAGCTTTAACCTGACTCCTTCAGTTGCTGTAACAGAACCAAGCACAATTTAAAAGAACTTCAGCCGGTAATAAGGGACTCACTGCCCTGACCGTCGGCTGACAGTGGCACCGCATTTTTGCATGCTACTCAGCTCGGTAAGCACTGAACCGCACAAGTCTTGGCTGCAGCTTGCCCAGAAAGCCAGCCTCTCCCCTGAGCCTATACTGCGCTCTGGGGAAACCAGCCTTCCCTCTTCCAATGCAAGTGATGAGGGCTGGGGCTGCTCCTGGGGGAGGGGCTCTCATGGCAGCTAGAGGAGGGCAGTGAAAGTGAGAGGACAATGGAGAGGGGAAATGGGGTGTTGTTTCTAGGCAACTCCTCCAGGGAGGATGCTCCAGGGTCTGACTTGCAGGTCGGTGAGCTGCTGCCACACATCCCCACTCAGCCCCTTGGGACATGGTCATGTCCTGGGTGGAGGAAAGGGCTGGAGCATTGAGGGATTTGTTCTGCCATCTGAGCAGAACGGCCTTCTCTAGCCCAGCCCATGGGCAGCGGCAGCAAGCAGAAGGCTCAGGTTGTCCCTGTTCCTGCAGAGCATAGGGGGCACGGCCCTGGCAGGGCAAAGTGCTCCAGTCCTAGGGCCTGAAGAGCACGTAACAGGCCAGGCACATCTGGGGTAACCAGCCCAGTTTCTAGGCAGAAGTGCTGCCCCATGAGATGTGATAAGTCCTCTCTGGCAGGAACAATGAGCTGAGGCCAGAAGGAGTAACTCACCAGAGACAGGGAATCATCCCTGACCATCCTTTCAGTGTGGTGGCGGGGTTGCATGAAGTCTGATGGGCACCTATGCCCTCTGTCCTGGGCTAAATGTGCTGGGCAGAGGGGAAACGCTACATGCACACATGCTGCTTGGCAAGGTAACAGTCATCAGCACCTTTCCTCCCAACGGCTCCCCTAGCATTTCTCAAACAATAGACACAGAGCAGCAGGTGAATGCAGCCACCTCTGGGTGTGCACATCTCTGCAGAACTGGAACCCGGCAGGGACAGGATAGAATATTAACTCTACCTTCCACATTTCACACTCCAGTTGCTATGGACTCAGACTCCAGTTGCTTCTCCTTACAGTGTTCACTGGACAAGCAGAGAGCTCTTCTGAGGTCCTACACCCTGCTAATTGAGGGGGGGCGTGGCCGACTTAGGTTCAAGGATCCCAGTAGCAGCACCACATTCCCACATTCCTTTAGTCCGGCAGTTGCTCTCGCCCCCGTCCCTCCCCACACAGTATTTTCCAGTAATGCAGACTCATGTGACTGTGAAACGTGCTCAGCCCTAGCTCCTCTCTGCCAGGCACAGCTCCAGATCCTAAGCCCAGCCATCTGCCAGCCTCTCTCCACAAGGAGTTCCGTGTTGGGTGCAGGTGAGGGGAGAGAACAGACCCGGGAGGTGGGAGGAGGAACAGGGCTAAGATGCACTGACAGAGCGGGGTGAACAGCCCAGAACTGGGATAGAGGCAGAAGGGCAGGGGATAGGCCAGGACTGAGGAGCACTGTGAAGGTTGGGGAACCGAACTCTGGGATAGAAAAGGAGGAAATGGAGCAAGATGGGGCAGAGCTGAGGGGAAGGGCAATAGGAGGGCTCAGGGCTGCAACAGCCAGGGTACTGCAGGCTGGGACGGAGGTGCCTGAGCAGACCTGCCAGGGGGAAGTTCCGGCAGCACCTGCCTGCACAATCCTGCCTGCGGTTGGGGATGCTTGTCTCAGACTCCCAGAACATCAGTGACATCTACCTCCTTCCCCTCCCTCCAGGCTGACCCGTGTGGGATCTCGCCTTTACCAGTGCAGGGGCTGGGGCTTGCCGGCTGTACTCACATGGATACCTGAAGTAGAAATCGTTTTCTATGTCACTGGTGAGGTTCTTCTGGTGCTGCTCCTCCTTCCAATGTGCATCAGCTTCGGGGTCAAAGCGCACAAAGACCCCAAAGAGGACGATCATGGCGACCTCCCAGAGGAGGCAGACAAGCGGCAGCCGCCAGCGCATGGATGTGTTCTTCACCATCCCAGACCAGCTCGCCTGCTCAGATCCCACCAAACCCACTGCGCCTGGAGGGGGCAAAGTGCCCAGAATGCACGAGTCCCAGTCCCGATGCCGGAGGAGGCTCAGTCCATTTATACAAGTCTGGCGATGTGGGGTGTGGTGCTGGGAGCTGTTAATCCTCAGAGCTGCCTGGGCAGGCTCACATTTCAGTTCATGGCAAGTTTCATGGATTTGAACTCTCTCTGCTTCCAGCCACAAGGAGGGGGGTTGGGAGCAGAGAGGCACATTTCCAGCCCCGCCCAGGAGGGTTATACTTGTCCCTGCTTTACAAATGGAGAACCAAGGAGCAAAGAGGGGCCACAGTCACACAGTGAGTTGGCTACAGAGCTGGGAATAGAACCCAGGACTTCTGACCCCCTCAACCTCTGCTCTCACCACTAAATCAGGGTTGGGCGATAAAATAGAGGCAGTTCATCAGGGTTAACCCCTGGCAGGTCATCGCCACTTTATTCACTTGCACCTCTGCAAGTGTTTATAGTTCCCAGTGGCTCTGGATCACCGTTCTTGGCCAATGGGAGCTGCGGGAAGTGATGTGTACAGGGACCCCACTTCCTGCAGCTCCCACTGGCCAGGAACGACAATCTGCAGCCAACAGGGCCTGCAAGCAGGGCTGTAACAAGGGTGGGGCAAGTGGGGCACTCGCCCAGGGCGCATCATAACCAGGGGCACCAAGAGGCAATAATTATAAAGAATAAGCTGAAAAAGTAAAGAGTGTGACACATGCTAATCTAAGGAGAGGGGGTGCATACTTAATTATTTTGCCCTTGGCGCAAATATATCTAGTTACAGCACTGCCTGCAAGCATCTGAACCTGCGGAGGTGCAGGTAAATATAGCACTGGTGGCCCTCCAGGGGCTAACCCTGGCGAACTGCATCCGGCCCAAGGGTTTTGTATTTGCCTGTCACTGCTGTAGACCCAATGCAGAATAAAAGAACAACTCTGATTTGAAGCTGTTTAGGGTAAGAATTCGCATGTAACAAGTTTCTTAGTGGATTAGGACTAGCTTTGCATTTTCTATTCATTTTAATTAGTAACTTACTTTTATCTGACTGTTTTCACTTGCAAACACTTGAATCCTACTTTTTGTACTTAATAAAAACACTTTTATTATCAGGCCTAGCGTAAATAATTGTTACCTGGGAGGAAGCAACCACTGTGCATCTCTCTCTTTCATTGATAAAGAAAACTAATCTTATGAGCTTTCCCTAAGTAAAACTTTTACACAGAGAAAGATGGATTTATTTGGGGGTTTGATCCTTTTTTGGGGTTTGTTTCCTGGGTGCTGAGCATTAGAACAGAGTCCTTCCAGAGCTGAAGTGGTTCAGTATCTGCATTGCTCTGCAGGGGGGCAGTAACCCCAACTCTGTGTCTTGTCTTGGGGAGATCAGAGGACCTGGCCCAGCAGGACAGGGTGGTAAGGAGCCCCAGAGAGCAAGAAGCTGTCAGTGGCATGATCAGCAACCAGGGAACAATCCCAAGGGGGCTTCTGTGTTTGCACTGCATCACAGGCCCCTTTCTCAGCTGCCTTCTCCTCCCAAACAAGCCAAAAGTCCTTCACAAACTATGAACACAGCACCATGGAAATGCTGCCACTGCTGGGGTAGAGAGTGGCCTGATACAGACATGTAGCAAGGTCTCACAGAGAGCTGGCAGCATCACGGGGTCAAGAATAGTTCTGCTAGGGCTTTCGCCGGTTCCTGAGTCTGCTGCTGGTGAGAGTCCAGCAATGCCCAGGCAGTCATGGCAGCAGAGAATTTGACCCTTTATGTCTCTCCTAGGTACTTGCAGACAGATGAGCCAGGCAACCACTGCTGTGTCACTCAGAGGCTGATGACTATTTAATTGGAAACTCCCAGGAGACCACTCCCAGAAAAAAAAACAGAGTTAGTGGTTCCCTGTGTGGAATCTTGTGGGACGGTCCATGGGCAGCTCTGAGAAGGAGAGGAAGGGGAAGAGGAGCACTATAGTCAGGTACCAGCATCGCAGCACATGCTGAATGGCCACACATGGATCTCACAGGAGGGTTACTTGCAGGGATGTGGAGGTGCCACATGCTCATTTCTGCCAGGGCCTATTATTACCTTGCACTCTCCTGATCTCTGCTTTTCTTTCTGAACATCCCTTATCCTGTGCCCCATAGCTACCCTCAGTTTCCATGTCTGCTAACTAAATGTTACCTCTGGTAGGAATTTCTGTGCAGGGGAGGGTGGGTATTTTTTGTAAATGTGGACGGCAATTTTTTTAAATATAAAGGAGTTCAAAATACACCTGCAATGAGTGCACATAAGAGAGGTTAATGAAAAATTTGAGTGGAAACAGTGATTGGTAAAACGATTTTGTTATAACATACTAAAAATTTATACAGTAATAAAGGTTTTATAGAAATTACCTTCTGGGATCATGGCAGGCAGCGCGGCTGCCATGTCCCCCCACTTCTTCGCCTGCCTCTGCCTTCCAATGCTCTAGGTGCTCGGAAAAGCCAGCGCCTGGTGTGTATGGGCAGGGCTTCAAGTCAGCCAAACTCTCCTGCCCATCTCCTTGCAACACAGCGCACTCCTATGCCTCTAACATAGGGGTTCTCAAACTTTTGGCCTGTGGCCCATCTGGCTCAATGCAAACATTTCTTGCTAATGGAAACTTGCTGTTAATTACATAATTACACCTGAGCCATTTTGCTAGTGCTGCAGCCAGGGTGAATGGTTTCATTTAACCAGTAAGAAAGGAAATATTAAATCATTAAACAAATTAAAAGCTTTAACTTTCTCAAGTTAGCTTATCAAACTTCATTTAAATAAAGTAAAATATTAATTTTGTGGCAGGGGTGAGGAACCCTTTTTAGAGTGGAGGCCACTGACCCACAGAAAAATCAGTTAGGGACCGCACAAGTGAGAAGCAAACACACAAACACACAAAACCAAAAACCCCTAACCCTCACTGATGTGGCTCCCAACTGAGACACCTCACTCCTCGGCTATGTCTACACTAACAGTTTCTTGTGCGAGAAATATGCAAATGAGGCTAAGCGTGGAATATCGCCAAGCCTCATTTGCATACCTAATGAGCCACCATTTTTGCAGAAGAGGCTCTTGCGCCAGAAGGAGCTGTCTGTACTGCCCCTTCTTGCGCAAGAAAAGCCCTCTTGCGCAATGCCGCTACGCTGATTATTTTCAGGAATAACGGCATTGCTCAAGAGGGCTTTTCTTGCGCAAGAAGGGGCAGTGTAGACAGCTCTTTCTGGCACAAGAGCCTCTTATACCCAGTTGCTGAATATAAGGAGGGGGTATCCCCACCCTCCTCTTAATACTACACAGAACACATGGCGTCCAAATGCACCCTCTTCACAAGGCTTCCTTTATTGTTAACAAACATTATGTTCACTCTAAGTTTCCTCCTCAGTTTGCCTGTTCCTAAGCCCTTCTGTTCCTCCTTTTAGTTATTTTCTGCCTTAAAGCGACAAAAGAAGCCTTTGTTATACACAGCTGCACTGTAGTTATGTTGGTCCCACAATATTCTGCTAGCAACTACATGGGTGAAACTGGGAAAGCACTATGCTGTCAAATGAATTCCTACCCTTCCTTCCTCCCCCTTCCCACCCCCCCGCATCCTCCTTCTGTTCTGCAATGTGATTTGTCCTTTTCATATGTGTTCACTTTTTTTTTTAATTGTATCCTTTGGTATATATGGTTGTGACTACTTTCTTCCACTATTTGATCTGAGGAAGTGGGTCTGGCCCACGAAAGCTCATCATCTAATAAACCATCTTGTTAGTCTTTAAAGTGCTACATTGTCCTGCATTTTGCTTCAGCTACCCCAGACTAACACGGCTACATTTCTATCACTATTCTACAGGAAAATGGTAAGAGACAAAACCATTGCATCAGCAAGGGGAGAATACTTTCCACAAAGTGCTCACTCTAGAAATGGCCGATCAGTTTTCACCCTGCACAACACTTTCAAAAGATAAGCCTGGGAGCTTAGATTCATAACTTTGCTAGATACTAAATCATAGAGGGAACAGAGACACTGGCCATTAGGCTTATTACAACAATCTAAAACTCACTAAAAATCCCCACTCCAAGCTGCTTCCCTCCACCATTCCTTTCTACCTTATGATTGCAGTGGTGTTAAGAAACCAATTCACCTGGAGTGGTCCCTTAAAATAAGAGTTAACTACTTGTGCCAAACAATCTTGTACTGAGCTGTGATGCTTAAGTTTCTCAGGTCTGAACAAGAATTCAGTGTAATTCAAAAGCCAGCCAGCTAACCCTCCCTCCAACAGACACTAATCCAATAAAGGATATTACCTCCCTGACCTTGTCTCACTAAAAGACCCCTTTTAGGTTGCGTTAATTAGACACACCTGGTCTGGCTGCCAATCAGGAATCAGGAATAAGGGACCTTTTGGAAAAGGCTTTATTTTCCAAAAGATCCCATCTAGACTGGCGCTTTTCTCCAGCAAAGCCCCGAGCCGGAAAAAAGCGGCAGCCATGTTTATACAAATGAAGCGGGGGATATTTAAATCCCCCACTTCATTTGCAATTCCAACTTGTCTCATCTGCATCCCTTTTCCGGAAAAGGGGTGCAGTGTAGACACAGCCTTGTGGTATTTCTCATCAGGGAGAAAGAGCAAAGCACGTTTGTCCATCTAGTCACAGCACCTTCCTCCATGGCTGTGCATGTCCCACATACAGTAGGAGCCAGCCTGTGTCAGGTAGGGTCTGTGAATGAGAGGCCCTGGCATCCAGGCAGGCTGCCCAGTTTTTTTAGCCTGGTGCAAGAATAGCAGATGGCATCTAATTCTGGGTCTTCCACCCGAGCAGGCTATGCTGCAATTCCTGCACAGATTTGCCCCCAGTTACAGCTGCAATTAGTTCATGCTTACACCCTTGCTAAATGCCATTGGCCAGCCTGTGAAGGAGGCTGATGGCCAGACAGAATCGGCCTCAAACCCCATTTACGGTTCAAGAAGCCGTGGTTAAGGTGCCTCTGGCCATGGCTGAAGGGAAGGTGATTCGGAAGTGCAGGGAACTGCTGCACATTTCTGCAAGGAGCTGAAAGAGAGTTAGGGAATCAATCAGCAAATGCAAAGGCACCACAGAGTGTCACATGAAACAAGTGCAGCTGGGGACCAGAGCACATGGCTGCTAGGAACTTGGGCAAGTCCCACGAAGAGCACACATATGCTGCAACTGGCCTGAGCGGCCCCCCCAAAAATACATTG